GCACACACACACACACACACACACACACACACACACACACACACACGCACACGCACACGCACACACACACACACATCTGAGAGTTAAAGTTTTCCCCTATATCTCTGGAGCCAACAGAGGCCATGTTTGTTGATAAGATCTTCCTGGGTTATGTCTCCTCCTCTATTATCTCATTCCTTCTTCCATATACAACTATTTCCTTCTTTATCTTATTATCTCATTCATCATCATCTTCTTCTTGTGTCTTAACTTCTCATATTTAACCTCAGATCGTGTTAGTTTGATCGATTTTGTCAGAGTTAAAATATCTTGTAAATTAGTTTGTTTTAACCACCAAATTAACACACCATCACAAGTACTTATACAGACATCTGTATTCTACTACAAAACAACTTAAATAACATAGATAAACAAGACACAGAGACAGACATTCGAGCACATCAATCAAGTTTTGGAAGAAGTTAATCCATCACAAATAAAATCCAACTAGATATATCCAACCCCGAGGAAGGAAGTTAAGACATATACATTTGTTTTATCCACGAGTCAGCAGTACGGATGACCAGACTACGTCGTGTTGATGTTGGGCGGTGAGAAGCCCCTGACGTCAGCTCCCAGACGCGGAAAATAAACCCAGTTAAGAGATGTCAAACTCGCCAGCCTCACCACCGCCTGAGTCTGACTGGAATGGGTATGGACGGCGACCCCTGACAAGCTGACAACACACAACTCGGGATCATTGGTCGTCTGAGAGCTGTTGTCTGGTGATGATGTTGGTAGATGTGTGTGTGAGAGAGAGGGGGGGAGAGAGGGGGGGAGAGAGAGGGGGGGGAGAGAGAGGGGGGGAGAGAGAGAGAGGAAGAGAGAGAGAGACAGTGGGGAGATACCCCCTCGTGTTTACTAACCAATAAATTACTTTGACAGATGAGAGGAGAGGAAAAATCGGGGGGAGCCATTGTGTCGTACCTAACCTAGACAAAATCCTAGACAGACAGAGACACATTAATATCAATATCACACACACACACACACACACACACACACACACACACACACACACACACACACACACACACCAGCCACATCAGGATTCTAGAAGCTTTTCCTTACAAGTCAAACACTGCGTAATAAACTCGGTGAAAACGAGGAGTACACCGCGCGTCTCAGCACGGTCTGCCGCTCCTGGCATGTCTCACCGCAGCCACACACCTGTCTCACCACACAGCCACACCACCTGTCTCTCACCACAGCCACATCTACCTGTCTCTCACCACAGCCACACTACCTGTCTCTCACCACAGCCACACCACCTGCCCTCACCACAGCCACACATCTGCCATCTGTCTTCCTCACCACACAGCCACACTACCTGTCTCTCACCACAGCCACACTACCTGTCTCTCACCACAGCCACACTACCTGTCTCCTCACCACAGCCATTACCCACCTCGTCTCTCACCACAGCCACACTACCTTGCCCTCACCACAGCCACACTACCTGTCTCACACCACAGCCACACCACCTGTCTCACCACAGCCACACTACCTGTCTTCACCACAGCCACATCTACATTTCCGTCTTCACCACAGCCACACTACATCTCACCACAGCCACACTACCTGTCTCTCTCACCACAGCCACATCTACCATGTCTCTCACCACAGCCACACCACCTGTTCTCACCGCAGCCACACCACCTGTCTCTCACCACAGCCACACCACCTGTCTCTCACCACAGCCACACCTCATCCTCACAGCTACAGGAGACAATGAGACGTATATTTCTTTGAACAGGGAAGGAACTGTACGAATGACTGACTGATGCACAAGATTCAATCATTCCAGGTTACGTTAAATGTTTCACAATAACACAAACCTGAATTAATATCTACGTATGTTATATAGTTTATCATTTCCTCACACTTGGCACTAGTCATTAGGGAATTAATAGTGATATTGAAACAATCTATAAAGTTTGAAGAATATTGATACAAAGTGAATAACAATAATAATAATAATGCTGACATAACTAAACTAATGATGAATGGGTCAGATGTCAACAGATGGCTACAATTCTCCCCCTCATTCTCTCCCTCTCTCTATCTACGTCTTTCTTCCTATTTCCCCTTTTCTCAATATCTCTCTTTTTCTCTCATTCTATCTCTATTTCCTCTTTACTCTCCCTCTCACCTAACCTAATCCAACCATCTCCCTCTTCAAAAGTATAAATAAAAACATCTGGAAAAAATACTTCTCACTGGAAGACCCTGGAACACTAAGCCTGGAACAACCTTCATCCAGGATCTGTGTGTGTGTGTGTGTGTGTGTGTGTGTGTGTATGTGTGTGTGTGTGTGTATGTGTGTATGTGTGTGTGTGTGCGTGTGTGTGTGTGTTTTCCTTCTTATTTTTAAACCATTTCCATTATTAATAGTTTTGTTTACTAAGTTTGTGGACCGACTGATGCAACAAAAACACAAAACAAAAACAGTATTTGTTTTGTTATTTATGTTAAAGGACAATTATGTGTATGGGTAGGGAGGAACCATCTTGGATTTTGTTGTTGTTAGTATACAGTGCGTTTTTGTGAGTGGATTTTGAATACGGATTTATTTTAGACTGTGGTTGAGTTTTATTTTCGTATATGTAATCTTGTTGGTGTGTGTGTGTGTGTGTGTGTGTGTGTGTGTGTGTGTGTGTGTGTGTGTGTGTTTCTCTTTGTGCGTACGAGCAAGGGTATGCTAGCACTGGAAGCTTATGAATACTTATACATATGCGTGCATGTGTGTGTCAGTGTGTGTATATGCATTTAAGTTCCTGCATACATGTGTGGTGTATATTTTTGTATATATGAATGAATTAAAAAGATACTGTGGTCGTGTAACTCGTCTGTGTAAATGTGTGTGTGTGTGTGTGTGTGTGTGTGTGTGTGTATGTGTGTGTGTGTGTGTACTCAGTAGCACACACTCAAGGGTCTTCACTCAGATCTCCTCCATTTGTCGTAAAGTCTCTTGAATCCTCGAGTCTTTCACCCACCTCCCTCTCTCTCTCTCTCATAGTACAAATAATAGAAACCTAGCTCTCTTGCTCATTATTTGACACACATACATACACACACACACACACACACACTTTACCTTCACCCATGAACGTGTTATGGGGTGTGATTTAGTCTTTAATTAAAACGTGATCGTTGCATCTTTTAAATCCTACTTAGGGATTAATTGCCCATCTAAGGAGGGCAATGATGGCACTGAGTGATTAAGCTCCCACACACTTCCTCCCCTGGGTGATTGTAAGGGCTCTATTGTAGGTTACACAGCTGGTTCCATACCGCTGTGTGTGTGTGTGTGTGTGTGTGTGTGTGTGTGTGTGTGTGTGTGTGTGTATTTGTGTGCGTGTTTGTGAATAATTTATATAAACTAATTAGGAACTCGTAGAGGTGTGAAGGTGTAGAAGAATTACAGAGAAAAAAAACACCTCACGTCAGCTCAGAACTTTTGATATATTAATATAAACTCAGATGTGTTAATGAAGTAAATATGTCTGGGAATACAGAGATGATGCGGCAGGTGGGTATTCCTGCTGCTGCGTCTTCGTCGACTACTTCTCTTTCTCCTTCTACTCCTCCTCCTCCTTTTATCCTCCTCCTTCCCTTTCTCCTCCTCCTCCTCCTTCTTCACCTGCCTCACGTCAATCTTTGTTTTGGTTCTGTAAAGCTTTATGAGGCATCGAAATCCTCTCTGTCTGTCTGTCTGTTTCTCCATCAACTTACACCAGGAGAACATATCCTCAGTATATTACACCTATCCCTACCCTTTTCCCTCCCTTTCTTCCCCCTTTCATCTTCCCCTTCCATCTCCTCTTATCTTCCTCTCTCCCCAAGACCCACTCCACTCGTCCTCCTCTCCCAACCCCATCTAATCCCCTCCTTCTCACCCTCAACCCTCTCCCCTACCCTTCCTTCCTCTCCCCTACCCCTCTTTCCTCTCCCCTAACCCTTATCGTATCCCAAACCCCTTCCCCCTACCCCTGTACCCCAAATATCTCAAGTATATGCGATTCCCAAATTGGGGAACTTAGTTTGGCGGGGAATTTTGAGGTCGAAGTTTAGTCATATCCTCACTAGGACCCGTGGCGCTGTGTGTTGTTGAAGGTGGAGACGAAGTATTAGAGAACCTGTGTCTTTAGTTCTGGGGAGGGGAGGGGGGAGGAGGACAGTAGGGGAGAGGGGAGGGAAGGAGGAGAGGGAAGGGGAGGACGGGAGAGGCACGTGGAGATATTTGCATGAACCGAAAGAGGAGGAGGAAGAGAAGGGAAGGGGCGTGGAGGAGGGAGGAGGTGGTGAAGGAGTTGGGGTAGATGACGATGATGATAAGAAGGAGGAGGAGGAGGAGGAGGAGGAGGAGGAGGAGGAGGAGGAAGAAGAAGACCCCTATCTCTGTGTAAGGTCTGATCTTCAGCACAATACACCTGCCTCACCTGACTAATTAACCTGGCAATATTTTCCACGTGATTATTCAACAGATAATGTAAAACAAAATATCAGTCTGTCAATTATAAAATGTATGTTAATCTAAAACTATAATTAAGATCCGTAATTAGAGAAAAATACAAATTATACACATTTTTTAATCACCTGTGACTTCTGGGTAATTATAGACAGGCATTTTTACGCACAGGTATATAATTAACATAATTTTCTCATATCTAAAACACGTAATTAAAAATGATAACAAAGATAATAAACGTCTGAGTTATTAAGAGGTTTTGGGCGTTATTAAGAGGTGTCCATTACGCCTATCAGCAGTAATGAAAATAAATCTTGAGTTATATCATGCATGTATAATGGCGGTCATTACGGCAGAGGAATTATAATCTCCTCTAAATTATACACCAAGACGAGAGAGTTAAAGAAAACGGGTGATGGTGCGACTATGACTCACCATTACACCACTGTCACCATAACACTGCCATTAACACCATCATTACCACCACCAC